CTCTCTCTCTCTCTCTCTCTCACTGTGCACACTCTCTCTCGCTGTGCACTCTCTCTCTCGCTATGCACTCTTTCTCTCTCTCTCTCTCTCACTGTACACACACACTCTCTCTCTCACTATACACACACTCTCTCTCTCTCTTTCTTTCTTTCTCTCTCTCACGCAGTCTTCTCTCTCTTTCTCTCTCTCACGCAGTCTTCTCTCTCTTTCTCTCTCTCACGCAGTCTTCCCTCTCTCTCCCACTCAGTCCACATACCTACAGTGTCTGGTTGATTACTGGTAGGGCATCCCCCGTTGGTCCAACAGGCAAGCGGCCGTGAAGCATTTCAAAGAGAAGCAGGGAAAAGAAAGAAAAGGAGGGGAGAAAACAAAATAAAATTAAAAATGAAAGGTGACTAATCTGTACTTGCCCTTTCCAGTCAGGGAGCAGTGCAGCGTCGTGCTATTCTCGAAGCCAGGGGCATTTTCGTAATTTATCTCTGGGTCATCGCTGAATAGCTGAAGCAATCGCAATCGAACTTCCGGTTTCCACTGAGTTCTAGTCTCTCCTTCATGGGTGCACACCCATGGCTGTCACAGCCATGGTAGCACCAGCGAACTGCGTTCACAATGGTCGCCTCCCCTTGTGCGCCCCGTTCTCCCTCTGGTCTTCCCCCTGCTCCCGTGACTCTGCGGCCCGTTGTAACAGCAGGCCACTTGGTACGCCTGRCACACTGTCCCCAAGCGGACTCGAGCTCTCCTGTCCGATCCCATGAGTGGACTGCGTACACCTGGCGCACTGTCCCCAACTCCTTCCATTCTCCYCCATATATCCCAGGCACTGCCTCTAAAGAACGTCAAGTCCCCCCCCGACTTTTCCAATGGGAGGCCCGGTACTATAACACATACCCCAGTTGCGGCGGCAGCCCCGGGCCAGTAGTACCATCGTAGCCCCGCTTAACCGGACCCCCGGACTTTGCGGTGTAGCAGACTCCAAAAAATAGACGCCGCGGTGCATACCCCAACAGAACCGGAGCCGTACCAACTCGGAAATCGAGGGGCGCCGTGCAATAATGTCCCCCGATGATGGTACCGCACAGGCAGACGGTGGATCCACAATAATGTCGTACTTGAAATAGTTTGGTGTGTCGCCGCCAAACATGAAGTAGTCACGCCGTAGGGGCACCCGCAGGGGTACCGAAGCGGTATTAGCATGCCGTGGTC